TGAACCAAGGGTGAGAAAGAGAAGTAGAAGAAGAGCGCTTGGAAAGTTTTTTGGTCGAGGATCGTTTGGGCGGAGAACTCGAAGAGGGAGGAGCAGTGGGCTGCAGAGAAAGAACCTCGTCCTCCTCTGGCTCGTCTAACGCGCCAAGGGAAGGTCGACGATGGCGGAGAGGAACGTTATCCATTTTATCCCCGGAGTTTGAAGAAGCGACGCAGGCCGTAAAAACACGAGTAGGGATTTTCTCGCCGGGGCGAAGGATAGGGAGAGGGACAGCTTCGAGCGCAGAGGGTAGTATTTCAACTGAATCAGAGGAGGTCTCAGAGTCTGAAAAGAAAATCAAAACAAAAACAAAGAGAACAATATCAAAAAGAAGCCGTCGCAAAGAAAGAAAGAGGGGAGAAGAAAGATTAGGGTTTTAGGGGAGTGTAACGCCCCACTTTTATTTAACGAAAATCAGAATAAATTTTTCAAAATATATTTCAAAACACATGGCGGCGCTACTCATTTCCAAAATAAATTCCAGTAATATCAATAATGTAACTCCCAAACGGGTTCATAAATAACATCAACTCCCTGAACTGGTTTCTCAAACTCATAAATACTATGGAGCTCACTCCCTAACAATAATTCGATACTCATTATTTGAAAAGCATAAATAACAATTCAAATAAGCGGAAGCAATATCAGATATATGACCACCACTCGCCTCCCTCCGCCGTGCCCGCAATACTAACCTGCATCCATTAAGAGCAGGTGGGGATGAGCACAAATAAAAACAGTAGTGCTCACCACTATGCAATAAATGTTAATCTCAATAATAAACAATGACAAATAATCAAAAGTATGGTCTCAGCATGTATACGTAAATAATTAGTTATTCCAACCTCCTATCCCAAGTTCGTTCTCATGTGCACACCCATATCAATAGGCTACTGCCGACTATATATCGAAAGCCACGGCCCTCGGCCTTCTGGTCTTACAACGACTGTCCAGCCAGTAGGAGTCTCCCCCAAAGGCCCGGCCTAGCCATCGGACTTACATCGGGGTACTTATCGCTGACCGAGCACAGCCCTAGTCTCAAGCGACGTGTCCTTTGCAAGGAAAAAGAGGAGATTACCCCCATCGGGGTCGTTCTATAGTTACGGGGATAACCGTTCGACGGCCGATACAGCTCACATCGAGGGCCACATGTTCCACATGCATACTTTGATCATACCACAAGTAAACAATAATAACATTTAAAGCATAGTAAATTTTTTTACAATTACAACCCACCTGAAAATTCCGGTAGAAATGGCACACAAAAGTAAGCACGTAGGATGAGGCTCGACTCCTCAGACACCCGTCTTCGAGAAACTATGAGTAATCGGACGGGAAACGGGCCAGACAGCTGGTCGAACAATCGGCTTTGGGACTCTGAACTGTACGCACGGACTAAGGCTGCTGGCCGGGACCGGGTGCTGACTGCAAACGATGTCCACGTACAGAATCTCCTCACGACGGACGATGACCGAGACTCGCTGCGAAACGGAGACTAGCAGTTTGCCGGACACTCGCCGGAAAGAATGGTGGGCGGAGCTTAAAGTCGCCGGAATGGATAGCGACCGGGCTGCTGGAACTGGACGGGCCTGGTGCGCGACTGAGAGTGTTACTCGGAGGGACGACGGCAATTTGCAGGTACTGATTTGATTTTTCCCCCTTTTTTTTTTTTTAAAGCAACGAACAGAGGGATTGAGGGAGAGATAGAGCTGCTGCAACTGATATAGGCGAGAGGGAGGGATCGAGGGAGAACGTGCAGGCCGTTGGAGGAAAATCTCCCGAGGAATCGCAACCAATTTTATTTGAACGTGAAGAAGACGACTAAGTCTGGAGAGAAGGAGAAGATGGATCTGTCGGTAAATAATTAGGGCCCAAAATTAACCTCTAATTGGGCCAGAAATAATACATCATCTTGGGCCAAAGACATATCAAATGGGCCATGGAGCAAAGAATAAAAACAGAAATTGGGCCGAATTTGTTGCTCAAATGTGGCTGGAATTTGACGCTTTGAGCCGAAAATAATACTTCCGATAAATTGGGCCAAGAATAAAAATCGAGAAATATTTATCGATTCGATTGACGACGAATAATAAATTGATCCGGATTATTTATATTTATAATACACGCAATATATATTTATAATAATAATAATCATTTAAAACAATTAATAACAATTAGACATTTAGAATAATAATAATAATAATAATAATAATAATAATAATAATAATAATAATAATAATAATAACAATAATAATAATAAAAACAATTAATAATGGCTATAATCAATAATTATTCTCAAATAATCTACAATAAAACGGGGTATTACACTTGCCATCTCTTTTGGCTGGAGCCAAGGTTTGTATGTGTGCATGCCATCAATTGTATAGAGCTTTTGTACAGTTTGGTGAGTTGATTCGTAGTGCTTGAGGAAACAGGAGACATTATGGCCGTTCATTGCTGCTGTAATTTGTGCACTTAAATCGATGCCATGTACCCAGGAAAAAGTAAAAAAAAAATGACTTTGTAACAGGTAAATTAAAAAAAGATAAAAGAGTTGGAAAGCGAAAAAAAATTATCGTTTATTATGAAAACTAATAAATAGTATTATATTCATTTTAAAATATTCAAAGATGATGGAAATTTTGAGCAGTCAAGTCAATCATAATGAATACGTCAAGTAAAAATGCTCAAAATGATAATTAAAAGATTTGATTTTTATTAGCAGACATAAATGGATTACTGTATAGGCAGGTCATCTGTAAAAATTTTTTTTTCGTTCTTTTACAGTCACTGTAACTGAACATGTCAAGTTACCTCTTGGTCGGCCAGATATAAGTCAGTAATTAAATGGGATGACTCTTTCAGTATCTGAATCATACAACATTGCATGGATGATTCCTATTTCATCTTCAATTGCAATCGGCAATCGACACGTAATTGTTATCATTGAAATAATAGGTAATGTTTATTAGTTTGAGACGAACAAAGTCATTGAAAATGGTTTACGAAGTTTTAATTGTCACTAAAGGACTGTAATAATTCATGTAAATGTTATTTGTAATATTTTCTAATAAAAGTGTATCCCCAAAACTAAATACAGACACAAGGGAAAATATAACATGCACAAGTCTTATTCATTTTACAGCCTTCAGTTGAAATGGATGCTTTAATATTTTCATGATGATAAAAAGCTTAAACAATTCATCTTTCTATAAAACAAAAAAGTAACATGTTTTGTTTTGTTTTGTAAAGAATGCATAAACACACCAATGAGATTCTAATTGAAAGCAAGTGGTCCATCTCAACACATATATAAGCAAATTTGATATTATCCATTTGCCAGTTGACAGAAATATATTAAGATAAATAGATAATATTAGTACAATCTAATATACCAAGAATACTTTTTTTATGGATATAATATGTTGGGCAAAGGGATAAAGATAATACAGTAGGTAGTTTATTGATTAATTCAAACCTTGCTTCCACATGAGTATCTTCCTTGCAGCTTCGACATTTTACGGGTGTGTTTGGGGGTACATTGTAGTTTTTGCGGCAGTTGTTGCAAGTAGCTGTCCATAAAGACCTATTGTCTCCCAAATATTTTAGCTTGCCAGTGACCCAACAAGTTTTAGTCTGGGCAAAAAATAATTTACCAAGTTGCTGTATTTTTTGAATATTAAATCTTTGCAGGAAAATAGATTATTTCATTTGTATAAACATAATCTGTCCTAGCTTACATATTTAACCGTCGTCACTGCGCGCCGGATAGTAATTATATCGTTGGTAGTTGGGAATGGAAACAATTTGTCCGTGTTTTTATACACATTTTCTTCCAAAAGCTTTGCAACATCTGCTTTCTTTTCAGCGTACCTATTAAAAAGTAAGTGAGATGTGACAGGAAGTTGTGTTGTAACATAACTATTAATTTATTGAAGATTGATTAATGCGTACCATTGTTTCAACCTCAAAGCAGCCGGTATCGGTGGATTTATCATTCAGCAAGTGCCCGTCTTTGTTGACAACGACAGTCCTTTATCAGAATAATAGTGTTAGGCAAACATGAGTAAACAATTGTTTACAATGTAAATTCAGAAACACGACACATCATACCATTAAATGTGGAAACTTTTGTTCTCATGGATAGGACAATGTTTCCAGATGCCACTGTATTAGCCATGTTTTGACCGACATCATCTTCCGTTTCAAATTGATTCCACAGAGTTAAAAGTAGTGGCTTCTCCCTGGCGAACAAAGACTTTTAAGTGTAATCGATACATCATTTAAAATTTTATAGGTATAATCAAATTCTTACTCTTCATTGACAATGGCTAAGTCTCGCACTGTGTTTTTTTTGCCAAGGGTTTTGACTGGAAAAGCATGGACGATAACTCCAAGCAGGTATAGGAAAGTATAAATGTAACTGTGTTAGTTTGTTTGTTGTGTAAGAGAAGCCTGAATTAATTCCAAGCAAAATTAATATCTGTAATCTTACTCCTGGGATTGTCTGTATCCGCGTACTTATGCACGTCTACAAATGTATGAATTTTAATTTGGCACGGAAGTTGAGGAGACATTTCTTCCTGGAACTCTTCAACTAAAGTCTTTTTATGCAGAAGCCAGTTGAACTCGTAAGGACCAACCTGGTACAATGGGGTTTTTGGTCGTACCTTTGCCCCAGTAAGGTAGTATCGCTTGTATAGGAGCAGCAGCCCATCGAACTCACCCATGGCTGCTCTTTAAACTACAGCAGATACTTAAGTACCCTGATATTTAAGCATAACGAAATAGCAGCAGGGAACGTTTAAAGCTGGTATTAGAGTTAATTAATGCAGAAAAATATAAATCTTTTAAAAACCTCTCCATCGGTGAATAAATATCTTCGATAGAGTACATTCGGATCATTTTTGCTTGCTTGAATAGGCGCTCTTTCAAAGACTTGAACAAGCGCAGTCCAGTTTTGTGTCTCATTGGTGATTTGGCTAATGGGCAGGTAGGTCCTCGACATGATCACCTGCATTCATTGATAGTATAGAAATTAGAATAAAAAATATAAGCCTGGGTAAGTTTAATAGTTATTTTGTTTAAAAATAATAATGTAAATTTCAATTATATTGCAGTTCTGCGGCTGCTTCTAGAACTTCATTGTACACTATATTTTTTGTAGCATAATTTTTCTGGGGGTCAAAAAAAGGTGGCTTAGTAACAAATTTAACTGCTGATGAGATTTTTGCACGTGACAAGGCTACGTAAAGTTGACCATGCGAAAAGACTGGCTCTTTTAAATAAACACCGACTGAATCTAAGGTTTGTCCTTGTGCTTTATTAATTGTCATAGAGAAACATAATCGAACAAGGAACTGTATCCTTTTGTAAGGTACAAGAAGTTGGTCATCACTTGAAGGCTTTAATGGAATTTTATGTATGAAAACATTTTTCCCTTTGAATTCTCCAACAGTGATTTCTGCGTGAATATGTTTCTACATAATTTTTTACAAATTAAGTGTGTTCCATTGCATAATCCTTCTGTTGGGTCCAAATTTCTGAGTGGTATGATAGGGGCATTTACTTTTAATTGTAGCTTATGTGGATGCATTCCACCAGGTGTTAAAGAATTAATAATGTCTTCATAGAGGCCTTTATCAATGGGGTTGATCACTTCATCAAAACTTAGATATTCAACTAATTGGCCAGGGAAATCGCTAATAAGTTTGTTATTTATTTCGTCTACAAAATTAGTTTTTGTAACCAAAATAGCTCTGTTCATTGGGAAATTGTGTTGTTCATTTTGTTTTGCTTCAATAGAGAGATTTTTTTGTACTGCAATGCTAGAGAATTCAGGTTATATTGAAGTTATTAACTCTTGAAGGGCAGCCTCAGTATCTGTGTTTTTTATTATCAATGAAACAGGTAAGTGAATTATATTGTTTTCATGAGTTGGCTCTGTACCATTTCCTATTTTTAATAAGTATTCAATAAAGGAGTGATCATGGCGTGCCCTGATATTTTCTTTCAATTCAATTTTCTCAAGCAAAGACCAAATATAAGAGTTCGTAATGCATGCATTTATTGTATCTTTTTTATTTCCTTTTCGCACATCAGGTAAAATTTGTCTAAAATCACCACAAAAAACAACAACTTTACCACTAAAAGGTTCATCTGAATCTGTTAGGTCTCTTAACAAGTCATCAAGCGATTCAATTGAAGATTTCTTATCCATTGGCGCCTCATCCCATACTATTATTTTGCTTTCACGTATTAAACTTTCTAAATTACTTTGCTTACTAATTTTACATGTTTTTCCTTTTGATGGATCTATAGGAATTTTAAATCTTGAATGAGCTGTTCTTCTGCCGGGCAAAATAGAAGCGGCAATACCGGAAGTAGCAGTTGGTAAAGCGATATATCCTTTCGATCAAAGATCAGCTAGCAAAGCTCTATAAAGGAAAGTCTTTCCTGTTCCTCCAGGGTCATCAATAAAAAAGGCACATGGTTTTCCACTACAAACACGCTGTTGTATTGTAACGAAAGCCTTTTTTTGGTCTTGATTAAGTGAACGCATAACATTTAAGTCCTCTTGGGTAACAATAATATTTTTTCTCCGTTGTTAGCTCTCTATTGTCTTCCTTAATGTTAATAGGCATATCAGGAGGTAATATATTAAATGAATGAATATTTTTTCCCATTGATTCTAGGAAGCCATTTATTTGTTCTAAGACCTTTCTTTTAATAGTTATTTTATTTAAATTTGTATGACCTGTAAAATCTTCGGACATAGCATCTTCAAATTTATTGAATAAATCGACTGGGTTGTTAGGACACGAATAAACAAGTAAATTAGCAAAAAGTCGTCTCATTTCGTATGGCATCTTAAAAATTGATGCTTCTCGTAGACATAGTTCTTGGGTGTTATCATCTTGAAGCAGACCTCTTGCAAGAGCGGCTCACGATATGATTTAGCAACCTTGTTATTAAACATTCTAATATGTTTGTAAGATTTTGGGGCTCTAACGTGTAAAAGAAGAAGTTTAAGGTAATATCTTTCGCCTTCAATTGGGTGCACAGTAACTATTCTAGCTATTGAATCTTTTCCTTCTCGTATTTTCCATTTTTTTTCTTCTGTTAGCCACACAAAATATTATGGGAATTCTATATAAGTTAAAATTGAATTTTTTTGCATCTGTGTCAGTTCTATTTATGAACAAAAACTCAGTTAGCATAGTTTTATGGTTTCTTGGATTGTTTACTATTCTGTCTAATCTATCTTGTTTTTTATAATTGATTGTTTGATAATTTACTAAATGCACTGGCAAATTAATAACAGCAGGTTTTGTGTCGCTAATTGGGAATCTATATATCCTCCATGCAGCTTCAGTTAGAGAAACCCAACGTGCTGTTCGAAATTGTTCTATCCCATCAATTTGAACATTTTGATTGGATGTATCTGTTGGAGTAGTATACCCGGCGTTCCAATAAGATTGGACGTATTCTACGTGTAAATACAATCTATTGAAATTATATTAAATAATAAGGCATTACTTTATTTTAAG